ATATATATTTTAAAGTATCTTTATAATTTTTACAGAGTTATATCCATGTAAATTCTTATTATTTTGTTATAATTTTCTATATTTTTATTATTTTAATTTTATTAAAAATTTTTAATGATATTTTTATTGTACTTTATATTATTTGATAGAACTTTATTTAATTAACTGTTAATATTATTTAATATAAAAAAATTCTAATTTGTTTTTTGTATTAATTCTTTGAATATGTATAATGTCCGGTGATCGATAAGTAACTCAACTCCATTATTATTATTGAAATTTATTTTTGAAATTGTTTTAATGTTTAGGAGTTTATCGGATAAAAATACCATTACAAATTTTTATATAATAGATTTTCAACATTTATTAATTGCACAAATAAAAACTTGGGCGGCATTGTTAATTATCATTTATTTATTTAAATGTCAATTTAAAGTGAATCATAATTTAATAATTTAATAAAAAACTTATTAATAAATTAAAATTAAAAAAACTTTATAGATAATGTATAATTAATATAAATACTTTAAAACTTATTAATTTGTATACCGTAAAAGATTTTTATTCCTGTATCATAATTTAACATATTTTTTTTTTTTAATTTGCGTGTACAATAGTTTAAAATCAATACGTTTATAAATGATTCAGAAGATTAAAAATGACCATTCGTTTATATTATTACTGAGCGATTGTTTTATTACGAAAAATTCTTAATAAAAGAATTTAAATTAAAAAAAAACATTTTTAAAGTAAAAATTTTAAATTTAATCGAGTTTCATTGATAAAAACAGGTTTTATTCGTGATAGAAGTTCATTTACGGTTATTACTATCCAGTTTGTGATGTAATAATATTCGATCCGAGTGGAATACAGTCGATGACCAATAGAAAAGTAACTAGGAATCACATGATATAGACAATGGTTCTGTTGTAGAAAGATGTCGTCGCTGTTTAGAGAAGGTTGTGTTGCAACGGTGATCACTTGAAACAGATAAGAATGAGTTTACAAACGAATCAGAGGATAATTGATTAATGTCGTCAACGTTACAACAGCATCGTAGTCGTAGCTACATAAAACATGATTGTTCTATTTCGGTCACGTGGAGTGGCGCCAGAAGGAGTGTAATGCATTATGTTATTTAGATTCATCGATGTCAAGTCTTTATTTGCTTTGAGGTTCATAAAGAGTAAAATATGTATTATAATCGTTGTAATTTTATTTTTTTTTCTGTATGATCCCAGAGATTTGATATACGGTTCTTTATGGCGTCACACGAAAGGTAAGTTAACTTTATAATTGATAAAAATATATTAATACTGTAAAGAATATCTCTGTTAATTTTATTGTATATTTTCGGTGTTAATTATAATTAAAAAAATGACCGATTTACTTTAATAATTTCGGTTGAGTCTGTAATGTAGGTTAATGTGTACTGTAGAGGTAGTTGGTTGCATGTGGAAAATATATAGAAAGATTTTTTTTTCCTTTTCTCTTGAAGGACAAGGTGTGTAAGACACCGGAAATTCGTTAACTATGATTTCGCACTAGTTATGACTGCGTTTTATTTTATTTTAATTATTTCTTTTCATTTTTTAATAATTTATTCAAAAATTCTCCAACTTTCACCTGCGATAGGTAATTTGAAATAAAATTAGTTTTTAAGATAAATATCAATTGTCGATGATTTCCAGCATTCATAATATATTTCCATGGCAACTAACAATAGAGTAGTGATAAGGACGATAAGGTAGTTTTAAAGGTTAAAGGGCTAGTAAAACGTTTTCGTCTTATTAAGTTTTATAAAACTTTAAACAGCTTCAAACCGTTAACACAATTTTAATATTTATTTCAAATTTGTATTAGTATAATTTTATCATTATCCATATTCATTTCAACTGAATATTAAATTACTATTTGCTTTGTAAAGCTGTGTTTGTCTTTAAAAACGTATTGATGTGTTTATACATAAAATTGTTCTACATAGGAATCTAATACATAGGAATCTAAATCAATCAGTAAAATATTGGATTTTTTTAATCTAAAAATAGATAAATAGGTTATATTTAACTAACGGGATAGAAACAATTATGTTAATCATTAAATATTAATTATATTTTTTGATTTAATAAAAAGTTTGGTTTTCTAAAGTTATTAATAGTCGAATTTTGGAGACTGTCCAATTTATTTTGGTCAGATTTTGCAATAACGTTTTCAATTATTTGAAAAAAATTTATGTTTTAAATTCCAAATATTATATTAAAATTTAATAAATATATTGCGATATATTAAATATTATATCTATTCCTGTTATTACATAAAACTTTTCCTTATATTTTAAATGCTCCTTTTTAAAAAATCTGCTTGATAAATCATCTAAAAATAAATTTCTGACCTTTAAGGTTATGAATTTTTAAACTTTCTATTGGCATAAATAATAATATAATATTTTTAAAAGGAATTTTTCTTGTTTTTAGTACTGTATAAAAGTAACACGTAGCAATACATTTATAAATTTTAAAATAAACTTTTATAATATATTCTGTTGCAAACGTCAAATTATACAAATTTACATTACATTCATTACAGTTTTTTAAAATATAAAATTAAATAATGGATTACAATTTAATTATGTAGAATTACTGAAGTTTTGAATTAATTTGCATATTAATTTATTTAGAATTAAACCGACCTTAACCATTCTTCCTGTATAAAAATACATTCTGTGTATATAGACGTTTATAAAAATATCTAAAAAATAAACAACCTCTAAATAATAAAGAATAAATTATATTTAAACAATGAAAATATCTTTAAAAAATAATTTTTATATTCCTTAGTAGGGCCTTAAAAATGCATTAATTTATTAAAACACATTATAGTCATTAATATTATAAAATTAAGCTTTTTTATATATAAAAAACTTATTAACTATTACTTAAATATTAATTTTATAATAAAGACAATTGAATAAAATTTGATTTCTAATGTTTCCATGATTTTTCAGTGCTTTAATAAATAATTTATAGAATAAAATAATAATTAATTATATACTAAATTAATTACAATTAAAAATTTTAAATTATATTCTATAATCTAAATTACACATATTTAAATTCTCAACTATATACAGTATTAAAAAGTTAATTATATAGACTATATTTAATCAAAGTAAGTAAAAAACAATAATTAATGGTGTGTAAATTAATTAAAGAAGATTAGATAATTGTAATTATTTATTAATTAAGATCAAAATTATTTTATTAATTCTGATAGGTTGGATAATTCTAATTATAATATTCAGACAACTCTCATAAGATTAATATGTTAAATAATAAAAATCTAGAAACTATAGCATGATATTTTAGAAATTATTTAAAGTATAATTTTTTTTAACTTCATAAATTTTATAAATGTAAAATTAAATTTTTCACGCTCTCAAATGTATTGTGGAGTTAATATATTTTCCTATTCAAATGTTATAATTTTAATTTTTAATCTGTAGAAATAATTTCAGTATTTTCAAAAGAATTAAAATCTTATGAATTCATAAATGCAGTTTTCGAATGTTAAAGTCTTTAAGGGGAAAAAATTGTCTGTAAAAGACTTACTTCAATTTTTTATCCATTTTTAATGAGAAAATTTACTGACAATTTATATAAAATTGTCAGTAAATTAATCTTAGTAAATGTATTGTATAAAGAACTTTTTGAGTGTATAAGTTAATTGCTTTAAATTAATATATAAATTAAATTATATATAATATACTAATAAAAATTCATGTTTGTTTCAATATCTAATAATAATAATTACCTAGAAAACATTTTTATTATTTTATTTTTTATTTAATAATGATAATAATTGATAAAAACAATTTTAAATTAAATTACCTAATAAACTCTTAAATGACTTTTTTATTATTTTTTTTATTGGATACTTTTTTAATTTCAAAATTTTTCGTTTAAATTAAATCAAAAAAGTAATTAAACTTTACATGTTTTTATTAGAATCTAAAAGTAATTTAATTGGAATCTATGCTTTGTATTCTGATCAAAATTAATTTTTAAACGAAAATAAAATGTAATTAAAATTATTTAGTTAATTTTATTTAAAAATAAGAAAACAATTTAGAGATTTTTCTCTTAAAAATGACTTTTATTGTTTAATGAATTTTCAATACATTTATAATTTAAATTTTTTGTCGTGTTATTTAGTTATTTACACAATATTATAACAAAATAAACTTTATGTATTTAAAAAAAAAAAAATTGTCTTTCTAATCGAAAAAGCTTGTGAATTCGATTAATGTGAGTTGCAATTGCGTGATATTTTCAGTAAATGTAATATTTAAACAGAACATTTTGCATGGATAACGTACAATTTATTATATAAAAGGATGTCAAATTACATACATACTTAAAGAAATATTTTAAAACGAAAATTTAGAGTGAACGTAACTATTGATAAAAAAATGCATAGGCCTACACGTATTTCATATCTTAAAACTAAAAGTTCCAATAAATACAGATCGTAAAACCCGTAGGAAAGGAGTTGGAGCCTGTTTAATTTTTATGCCTATGGAAAATTATGCAAAGTCAGCGCCATTCCTGACCACGAAATAAATTTGAAACGTGGCAAAGATCCACGTGATAGCGTGAAGACAGTTTAGAATTGTGATGTCTCAAAAGTCCTTCAAATAATTAGCTTTTCATGTTAATTAATTTAATAGGCCACAATAATTTTAGCCTATTGTATGTAAATTTTTTAAACCTGGATTTGAATTTTAAAAAATTTGCAAACAATATTCTTGCAATCTGTACCGATGAAGCGTTTTGTGAATGAATTGCAGAAACGCTTTGTTTCTTTCTGTACTAGTGAAAAATGGCGAATAATTTTAATTTAGAGAAGTTTGCAGACATTTATATCGTAAATGGGAACGCAGCAGAAATACTCCGTCTTTATTACAAAGCCCTGGCCGCCAAATTTCGGACGAGAGAATGTTTACCCGTATTCATCAGCGTCTCAGAGAGCAACGATCATTTTCTGTGGTGAAGACAGATGGAGAATATCCAGAAGTCATAACGCTATTTATAAATCAGCGTGGAAATTAAGAACCAGAATCTAGTAAGGAAGTTAATGTTATGGAGTCTAGGCGGTGTGCTGAAGAATCACTACTTTGAACATCTCTAATGTTAGAAAGTAAAAATTAAAATAAAATAAACTTTAACTCCTTAATTATTCAAATATGATCATGTTTATTGGGTCATTTCTTTTAGTTTTTGTGAAGAATATGCGTACGCATTTACTATCCCGTTATGATATACCCTATATTTTAAATAAATTTTACTGCGTAATTTTTCTTTGATACGTTATCATACAAATAAGAATTTTTATGGTCGAAATTATTTTTATTTTATTATATTAAAGAGTGATTTAATTATATGATCAATTAATTTTTAATTAATTGAATTAAATGAAATATTTTTTATTCTAGTATTTTTATTTTACAAACATCAATTTTCGTTACGTTATTTTACGTTGTTTAAAATAAATATAAATTATAATAAATGATTTAACAATAATGAAAGTTTTTTTATAATTTGACAAGGGCATCAATCTATTCTTGAAAATTTTTAAGTTAAAATATTACTTGTATTTTTTAAAATAAAATTTATGCTTTTATATAGGCCTAATTGTAATTCTTGATTCTTTTCCATTTCAATAAACTATAAAGTAAAAAATTTTAATACATTAAAATATGTATGCTTATCTCAGCTATATTCTCTTCACAACACTCTTTTCCTTTGTTTTCTGTATTAATGATTACGAATTTACAATTATTATTAACTATTTTCTAACTATATTTAGATATTTATTAACTATTTATTAACTAAACTCAGCCATATTTAGATAGGCCTAAATAGGGAAAAAATCTTTAAAATAATACACGAAATTCATGTATTAAATCTAAAAACTTTCAATACATGAATTTCATATATATTATATATATATATTAATATTTTAATATATATATTATTT